ATCTTGGTTTAGAAGCATGGCTAACCACCATGAACAAATTAACTTAGAAGCATTACTAACTACAAGAGATTACCTACTTGTGAAAGCCGTCAGACCTCGAGCTAAGCAGGGCAGGTCCTGGTTAGTACTGTAATGGGAGACCTCTGGGAACAGCAGGTGCCACAGTGGGGCAGCTGCGGCTGTAAAGTGCCAGACTGTGGTTGTGTCCTTGGGCAAGACACTTCCCACACATTAGAGTGTGTGTGTGCGTGTGGTTGGTGGTGGTGGGAGGGGCCGATGGCACAGGCCAGTTGCCACACTTCTGTCAATGTGCCCCAGGGCAGCTGTGGCTACACTGTCTTTGAGAGCGCTTTATAAAAACTGATGCATGATGAACTAAGCAATGAATGAGTTTAGCTGGAGACACTCCACATCCATGACTGAATTTAGAAGCATGGCTATCCGCAATGAATGAGAGTAGCTGGACACACTTTCTCTCTCATCAATGAGAGAACTTTGAAGCATCTTTTTATGAATGGACTTAGAAGCATGGCTAACCACAATGTTTAACTGTTTAACAAGTTTAGCTGGACACTCACTATGTGTAGTGAAAAACCCATTGTGCGTCTGCAGTGTGTGTGTCTGAGACAGAGACGTGACGCACAAACATCAGATATATTTGAACACTTTGCTCACAGCTCATTGGTCCCGTAACAAAAGCACAAATATTTTGCATTTTCAGTGTAAACAGACGGTGGAGGTCGGGCTGAGCGACACGCATCCAAAACACTACACAGCTACAGTACCTGCTGCTAACGCTAACCTGCTGCTAATGCTAACCTGCTGCTAATGTTATCCTGCTGCTAATGCTAATCTGTTGCTAACGCTAACCTGCTGCTAATGTTATCCTGCTGCTAATACTAATCTGCTGCTGACGCTAACCTGCTGCTAATGTTATCCTGCTGCTAATGCTAATCTACTGCTAACGCTAACCCTGTGTACAAACAGCAACAGCTGCTTTTGGGGAGAGAGTATATTTCTGTCCACATACAGACCGCACATGAATATAAACTCTACTCCAATGGTGAAAAAAAGAAAGACGACTGTTTAAGACTCTAACTCCGGGAGCAGTCAATTTGACGGCTTTTGCGCATGTACGCTCTTCGTCTTCATAACTTTGTGACTCTTTCTGTATCTTATATGTGCTTTATTTATGTCATTCTTTATATTTATTTTTTTGGAAATGTGACTTCTCCTTTAACTTCCTTCATTTGAATTAGCTTGTTACCATGGCAACACTTAGCATTTAGCCGTTCAAGGCGAGTAAAGTTTATAAATGACTTACTTTTAATAAATCTGGTGAAAAAATATATTTTGGGAGAAATGTATCAACATTTCATTGGTTTGAATCTGAGCAGTCAAAATGACGGCTCTGAGAGTTTTAATTTAGAATTCTGGTAGTTGTGGACACAACGTGATTTAAATTTGTGCAAGGTCTACAGCCTCAGTCCTGGGTCTACAGCCTCAGTCCTGGGTCTACAGCCTCAGTCCTGGGTCTACAGCCTCAGTCCTGGGTCTACAGCCTCAGTCCTGGGTCTACAGCCTCAGTCCTGGGTCTACAGCCACAGTCCTGGGTCTACAGCCTCAGTCCTGGGTCTACAGCCTCAGTCCTGGGTCTACAGCCTCAGTCCTGGGTCTACAGCCTCAGTCCTGGGTCTACAGTCTCAGTCCTGGGTCTACAGTCTCAGTCCTGGGTCTACAGCCTCAGTCCTAGAATCTACAGCCTCAGTCCTGGATCTACAGCCACAGTCTTGGGTCTACAGCCTCAGTCCTGGATCTACAGCCACAGTCCTGGGTCTACAGCCCCAGTCCTGGGTCTACAGCCACAGTCCTGGGTCTACAGCCCCAGTCCTGGGTCTACAGCCCCAGTCCTGGGTCTACAGCCCCAGTCCTGGGTCTACAGCCTCAGTCCTGGGTCTACAGCCTCAGTCCTGGGTCTACAGCCTCAGTCCTGGGTCTACAGCCTCAGTCCTGGAATCTACAGCCTCAGTCCTGGGTCTACAGCCTCAGTCCTGGGTCTACAGCCTCAGTCTTGGGTCTACAGCCTCAGTCCTGGATCTACAGCAACAGTCCTGGGTCTACAGCCCCAGTCCTGGGTCTACAGCCCCAGTCCTGGGTCTACAGCCTCAGTCCTGGGTCGACTGTTGTGACGGCATGTCGCTCAGCCCGCGGTGGAAGCACAGATCGTTAGCATTGCAGCATGTAGCAGTAGGCTTCTTAACAGTCTGCTAGCATAACATGTCTTTTTTGTCAATGGGAGCCAGTCCTTTGCTGCTGGTGATCGGTCGCTGCGGAAAAAACTGGAAAGTCGGGAGAAAAAGGCCCGTAAAATGGACCCAAAACGTTCCATGGTTCTGTAAACGTTTTCAGCACATGCGATAAAAAATAAGTACTTTTGCATCAGTTCAGAAACAGCGTGTCCATTGTGTTTCTTTGTGTTAGCTTCACATTTTCACTGCTCTTGTTTGTGGACAGTCTGAGTGGCAGAGTGGTTAGCTTGGAGACGGATGGGACCAGTCCATTCAGTTGTTTAAAAGTCCTGGTTAGTTCAGTGATCAATTCAACATTTATGAACATGGGTTGTCAGAGATGTCAAACTCATTCTTGTCGGGGCCCAGAGAAGAGATTTTATTTCCTTAGTTTTTTACTTTATGAAGGTGGGACTCGTGAGGCAGCTGTCCAGTACCGGCAGGCCAAGCGTGCCGCGGCCCGGGCTGTTGCAAAGACAGAAAGCCGGGACTGAGAGGAGTTCGGAGAGTCCATGGAGCATGACTATCGGTCGGCCTTGAGGAGATTCTGGCAAACCGTCCAGCGCCTCAGGAGGGGGAAGCAGTTCTTTGCCAACACCGTGTACGATCCAGGTGGAGAGCTGCTGACCTCAACTGAGGTTATTGTCGGGCGGTGGAAGGAATACTTTGAGTTCTCCTCAATCGACACGTCCTCCGTCAGAGGCTGAGGATGTTGGGGTGGAAACTTCCATCTCCCTGAGGTCACCGAGGTGGTTGGCAGCCTCCTTAAGGCTCCGAGAGTGGATGAGATCCATCCTGACTCTAAAGTCTCTGGATGTTGTTGCCAGTGGAGTGGCAGACCGGGGTGGTGGTCCCTCTCTACAAGAAGGGGGACCGGAGGGTGTGTTCCAATTATCGTGGGATCACACTCCTCAGCCTCCCTGGTAAGGTTTACTCCAAGGTACTGGAGAGGAGGCTACGGCCGATGGTCGAATCTCGGATCCAGGAGGAGCAGTGTGGTTTTCGTCCCGGTCGCGGAACACTGGACCAGCTCTATACTCTCCATCGGATACTCGAGGGTTCATGGGAGTTCGCCCAACCTGTCCACATGTGCTTTGTGGATTTGGAGAAGGCGTTCGACCGTGTTCCCCGGGGTGTCCTTTGGGGGGGTTCTCCGGAAGTACAGGGTCCGGGGTCCTCTGCTGAGGGCCATCCGGTCCCTGTATGACCGGAGCCAGAGCTGTGTTCATCAGCAGCAAGTCAGACCTGTTCCCGGTGCATGTTGGCCTCCGACAGGGCTGCCCTTTGTCACCGGTTCTGTTCACTGTATTCATGGACAGAATTTCTGGGCGCAGCCAGGGGCCGGAGGGGTTCCGGTTCGGAGACCACAGCCAGGGGTCGGAGCGGGTCCGGTTCTGAGACCACAGGATTTCATCTCTGCTGTTTGCGGACGATGTTGTCCTGTTGGCTCCAACGAACCAGGACCTGCAGCATGCACTGGGACGGTTTGCAGCCGAGTGTGAAGCGGCTGGGATGAGAATCAGCACCTCCAAATTCGAGGCCATGGTGCTCGACCGGAAAAAGGTGCTTTGCCCTCTACAGGTGGAGAGGCCCTTCCTCAAGTGGAGGAGTTCAAGTATCTCGGGGTCTTGTTCACGAGTGAGGGAAGGATGGAGCGTGAGATTGACAGGCGTGCGCAGTGATGCGGTCGCTGTATCGGACCGTTGTGGTAAAGAGGGAGCAGCGTCTGCAGTCAGAGCTGTATCGGACCGTTGTGGTGAAGAGGGAGCAGCGTCTGCAGTCAGAGCTGTATCGGACTGTTGTGGTAAAGAGGGAGCTGAGCCGAAAGGCAAAGCTCTCGATTTACCGGTCAATCTTCGTTCCCTCCCTCACCTATGGTCATGAGCTTTGGGTAATGACCGAAAGATCGAGATCGCGGATACAAGCGGTCGAAATGAGCTTCCTCCGCAGAGTGGCTGCTCCCTTAGAGATAGGGTGAGGAGCTCAGTCACACGGGAGGAGCTCGGAGTAGAGCCGCTGCTCCAGTTGAGGTGGCTCATCTGTTCCGGATGCCTCCTGGATGCCTGCCTTGAACACCTGGGGAGGTGTTCAGGGCACCTCCCACCGGGAGGAGGCCCCGGGGAAGACCCAGGACACAGAGGAACTATGTCTCTCAGCTGGCCTGGGAACGCCTTGGGGTCGGACGAGCTGGAGGAAGTGTGTGAGAGGGAAGTCTGGGCGTCTCTGCTTAGACTGCTGCCCCCGCGACCCGGCAACGGACAAAGCGGAAGAAAGTGGATGGACTTCCACTTTCTTCCGCTTTGGTGGAAGAAAGTGTTTGGACTTTTATGTGACATGAGTTTCATTGTAATTTTCAGGTTGCTTTTTCTGAAAACAAAATGTGTTTCTTGAAGTTAGAAGTTAAAGTTAAACACATTGTTTTTATTTGAATATTTAACGTCTTGTGATGCGTTGGGTTCAAATGTTGTAAGTTGATCATAATAATAAAAAAATCATTTTAGGGGCCGCGAAAAATTGTCTTGCGGACCAGATTTGGCCCTGGAGCCTGAGTTTGACCTGTCTGCTGTGTTTGTTATTATTGCATTTCCAACTCTGTAAAGTCGTCAGAGAAAACTGCTGTGATTTAGGCCCAAAATAAATGGAACTGAATCCACTCTGGTCCCATCCTCCATGGTCCATCCACTGGTGCTGGTCCTGGTCATGGTTCTAGTTCTAGTCCTCCTCCTGGTCCTGGTTCTCTTCCTCCAGGTCCTCCTCTTTCTCCTGGTCCTGGTCCATCCACTGGTTCTGATCCTCTTCCTCCTCCTCCAGGTCCTCCTCCTGGTCCTCCTCCTGGTCCTCCTCCTCCTCCTGGTCCTACGTGTCTGTCAGCGTGTACCAGTGACAGACCTGCTGATCCTCTTCCTCCTCCTCCTCCTGGTCCTCCTCCTGGTCCTCCTCCTCCTCCTGGTCCTACGTGTCGGTCAGCGTGTGCCAGTGACAGACCTGCTGGCCCTCTGCCTCCCTCATCTGGTTCCAGTGGCTGCTCTGCTCCTCGCTGGTGCTGTTGAGGCCCAGGCAGACCCCCCCCAGGCGCTCGCGGGGCCTCAGGGAGGACCGGCGCCAGAACACGCTGAGGACCAGGGAGACCTCGGACAGCTGGAACAGAGACACCTGGAACACGAAGCTCTCGCGGTACGTGGGGCTGGGCTGGCCGCGGCACACCCCCGTCCGGCACTTGGACATCTGCTTCCCCTTCGAGTCCAGCATCACCAGCTTCACGTAGGTGTCTGAGGGGGAGGAGGGGGGAGAGAGGGAGAGAGGGGGAGAGAGGGGGGGGAGAGGGTCAGAGGGGTGTGCATTCAAAGAAAAAGTTGAGTTCAATTTTTGCCCACGGTACAACATCGTTCTCTCATAAAGAATAAATATGAAGAGGCGCTGCAAAGTGGGCGGAGCGTAGCGTAAGTTTGAAAAGAGGGCGGAGCTTAGCGTATGTATGAAAAATGGGCGGAGCTTAGAGTAAGTATAAAAAGTGGGCGGAACTTAGAGTAAGTAAAAAAAGTGGGCGGAGCTTAGAGTAAGTATACAAAGTGGGCGGAGCTTTGTATGAAAAGTGGGCGGAGCTTAGCCTATGTAAGTAAGTCATTTTTATTTGTATAGCGCAAATCATGCTGCTGCTACTACTACTACTACTACTACTACTACTACTACTACTACTACTACTACTACTACTACTACTACTACTACTACTACTACTACTACTACTCATGCTGCTACTGCTACTACTGCTGCTACTGACCTCCGATCATCACCGTCCTTCATTCCCTCATGACTCGTTACATTCAGACCTATCGTACATATTATTGATGGTAGGAGAAACCGGAACACCCGGAGGAAACCTGTGCATGCAAACCCCACACACCAATGCCCCTGTCTGGAGGTGGAATCAACCCCAGGATCTTTTTGCAGTTAAAAACAAATCCAGTCTAATTGTGAGGAGAGACAGATGTTGTAACGCGGTGAAAAACGCTAAAAGACTCTAAAAGATACAGGGGTGTCCAAACTTTAGATCTCTAGACCCTCTGGACCACGACCCGGATTGTTCTGAGCTTTCAAATGCGCCGTACACAGAATAATGTCAGTACAGATAAAAAGGATTTCAGAGGTTCTCCATGTCTGTGTGGCTGAGATGAAGTTGGCTGAATGACACAGTGAACTTATACTGTGTTTGTGTTAGCGGCAGAGGGCCTTCTACGAGGTCAGAGCGGGCCGCAGTTGGCTCGCAGGCCTCGGGTTGGACACACCTGCTCTGAGGTTAAACTGAGAAATACAGAATACGTTCTTACCTCTCATGATATACAGCTGTCCACCCACAACATGTTTGACACAACAAAACAGACCATCTGCAACACAGCACACGCACAACACACAGAGACACACAACACACACAACACACAGAGAGAGACACACAACACACAGAGAGACACAGAGACACACAACACACAGAGACACAACACATACACAGAGACACACAACACACAGAGACACACACAGACACAGCAGAAGCAGAGAGCGGTTCAGGTGAAGAAGGAAAGATTATGGAACAGTCTGTGTAAAAACAAACATTAGGGTCAGACACAGAGACCACAGACTCAGGGGTCCGGGGTCTGGACTCAAGGGTCTGGGGTCTGGACTCAGGGGTCCGGGGTCTGGACTCAGGGGTCTGGGGTCTGGACTCAGGGGTCCGGGGTCTGGACTCAAGGGTCTGGGGTCTGGACTCAGGGGTCCGGGGTCTGGACTCAGGGGTCCGGGGTCTGGACTCAGGGGTCCGGGGTCTGGACTCAGGGGTCTGGGGTCTGGACTCAGGGGTCCGGGGTCTGGACTCAGGGGTCCGGGGTCTGGACTCAGGGGTCTGGGGTCTGGACTCAGGGGTCCGGGGTCTGGACTCAAGGGTCTGGGGTCTGGACTCAGGGGTCCGGGGTCTGGACTCAGGGGTCCGGGGTCTGGACTCAGGGGTCTGGGGTCTGGACTCAGGGGTCTGGGTTTAAGGGCTTTAGTCAAGTTCTGACCAGACAATTCTTCCTCTGGATTGTTTTCAGTATCAACAGGTCTCACTCTGGACTACACCACAGACTCACAGCACACTGAGCCCCCCCCTCTCTGCTCTCCCCCCTCGCCGCTCTCCCCCTCTCTCCCCCCCCTCCCACTCTCCCCTCTCTCCTCTCCCATTCTCACCGATGGGTGGAAGTGGCTGCCCTGGATCACTCTGGATCACCTCTCTCCCTTCTCCCCCCCTTGCTCTCCCCCCCCCCTCCTCTCTCTCTCTCCCACTCTCACCCCTCCCCCCCTCCCTCTCTCCTCTCTCCCCCCCTCTCTCACCGATCGGTTTCTCTGTGGCGGAGGTCTTGAAGTGGCTGCCCTGGATCACCTCCGCAGAGAGGCGTCCGGTGGTGGAGTTGTAGACCAGGCCCAGCAGCAGCTCTGGGAGACTGTCCTCTGTGGAGCGGTACGACAGGGCCCCCCCACTGCGGGACACGCTGACCACGGAGCCACAGCCCTGGGCACGGGGAGAACAACCATCAGAGAGAGAGACCAGAGAGAGGCCAGAGAGAGAGACCAGAGAGAGAGACCAGAGAGAGGCCAGAGAGAGAGACCAGAGAGAGAGACCAGAGAGAGGCCAGAGAGAGAGATCAGAGAGAGACTAGAGAGAGAGACCAGAGAGAGAGACCAGAGAGAGGCCAGAGAGAGAGACCAGAGAGAGACCAGAGAGAGGCCAGAGAGAGAGACCAGAGAGAGACTAGAGAGAGAGACCAGAGAGAGACCAGAGAGAGACCAGAGAGAGAGACCAGAGAGAGACCAGTGAGTTAACAGAGAGAGACTAGAGAGAGACCAGAGAAAGACCAGAGAGAGACCAGAGAGAGACCAGAGAGAGAACAGAGAGAGAGACCAGAGAGAGACCAGAGAGAGACTAGAGAGAGACCAGAGAGAGACCAGAGAAAGACTAGAGAGAGACCAGAGAGAGACTAGAGAGAGACCAGAGAGAGACCAGAGAGAGACCAGAGAGAGAGACCAGAGAGAGACCAGAGAGAGAGACCAGAGAGAGAGGCCAGAGAAAGAGACCAGAGAGAGACCAGAGAGAGAGACCAGAGAGAGACCAGAGAGAGACTAGAGAGAGACCAGAGAGAGACTAGAGACAGACCAAAGAGAGACTAGAGAGAGACCAGAGAGAGACCAGAGTGAGACCAGAGAGAGACCAGAGTGAGACCAGAGAGAGACCAGAGAGAGAGACCAGAGAGAGAGGCCAGAGAGAGACTAGAGAGAGAGACCAGAGAGAGACCAGAGAGAGACCAGTGAGTTAACAGAGAGAGACTAGAGAGAGACCAGAGAGAGACCAGAGAAAGACCAGAGAGAGACCAGAGAGAGACTAGAGAGAGACCAGAGAGAGAGACCAGAGAGAGAGACCAGAGAGAGAGACCAGAGAGAGACTAGAGAGAGACCAGAGAGAGACCAGAGAAAGACTAGAGAGAGACCAGAGAGAGACTAGAGAGAGACCAGAGAGAGACCAGAGAGAGAGACCAGAGAGAGAGAGACCAGAGAGAGAGACCAGAGAGAGAGAACAGAGAGAGGCCAGAGAAAGAGACCAGAGAGAGACCAGAGAGAGAGACCAGAGAGAGACCAGAGAGAGACCAGAGAGAGACCAGAGAGAGACTAGAGAGAGACCAAATAGAGACTAGAGAGAGACCAGAGAGAGACCAGAGTGAGACCAGAGAGAGGCCAGAGTGAGACCAGAGAGAGACCAGAGAGAGAGACCAGAGTGAGACCAGAGAGAGAGACCAGAGAGAGAGGCCAGAGAGAGACCAGAGAGAGAGGCCAGAGAGAGACCAGAGAGAGAGACCAGAGAGAGAGACTAGAAAGAGAGACCAGATAGAGAGGCCAGAGAGAGAGAGACCAGAGAGAGACTATAGAGAAACCAGAGAGAGGCCAGAGTGAGACCAGAGAGAGAGACCAGAGAGAGAGACTAGAAAGAGAGACCAGATAGAGAAGCCAGAGAGAGAGACCAGAGAGAGAGATGTCTACCTGTACCTGTATGTCTGACTTTCTGTTTATATGTTTCATGAATGTATAAATGTAAAACGTATTTCTTTTGCTGTTAATAATAAACCAAATCTAAGGTCCCGACAGAGTGGGACTGACCGTGGCCTCGGACCCCGGCTCCAGCGTGACCGGCAGAGCCATCTTGCCGTGCAGGTTGAGTTTGGTGAGCTGGAACACCTTCTCCCCCAGGACCTTCTCCTTCTTCATCCTCCTGATGCTGTAGAGTCTGAACCTCACGGCGTAGTCCCCGAGCGAGTCCTGCTCCACACGCAGGAACTTAAAGGTCTCCGTGAAGACCGGGCACGGACCCTTCTGCACCCCGGTCTTAGCTCGCTGCTTCTTAGTGGGCAGCAGGACCATGTGGACCTGCGGACCAGCAGAGCGACCAACTATACAGTCAGAATTAACACTATGATAACAGACCAGAGAGAGGAAGAGAGACAGGAGAGAGACAGGAGAGAGAGACCAGAGAGAGAGACAGGAGAGAGACAGGAGAGAGAGACCAGAGAGAGAGACAGGAGAGAGACAGGAGAGAGAGAGACCACAGAGAGACAGGAGAGAGAGACCAGAGAGAGAGACAGGAGAGAGACAGGAGAGAGAGAGACCACAGAGAGACAGGAGAGAGACAGGAGATAGAGAGCAGAGAGAGAGAGACAGGAGAGAGAGACCAGAGAGAGAGAGACCAGAGAGAGAGAGACAGGAGAGAGAGATACCAGAGAGAGAGAGACAGGAGAGAGAGACCAGAGAGAGAGAGACCAGAGAGAGAGAGACAGGAGAAAGAGAGACAGGAGAGAGAGAAACCAGAGAGAGAGAAACCAGAGAGAGAGAAACCAGAGAGAGAGAAACCAGAGAGAGAGAATGACACCAGAGAGATAAATTAAACATATACAGTGTAAAATGGTAAAGTGCTGTCCATAAAAAGACATTAAAAAATAGAAAATACAAAGCAGCTGCAAAACACACCATTTACAGCAAAAAATCAACAACAAAAAATAAATAAAATAAAATAATAAATAAGTCCTGACCTGCCAGGAGATGTTGCCCGTCTGCTTGAGGGCGGGGATGTCGGTTGCCGCGGTGACGGTGACGGCGAGCCACTGCTCCCCGGAGTCGTACTCGAAGGCCACGTCCAGAGTGCCGTACTTGGCCATGGGCTCGGGCTCGTAGGCGGCGGGCAGCGGCGGGACGTCCTGCACACAGTCAGCTCTGTTTCAGTTATGTTCGTATCGGAGGCAAAGCTGTCGATTCACCAAAGCAGATCAGAGAATCAAGTTCACACACAGGAAGTGCAGTGACAGCAAACACGTCTGAGGGAGAGAGATGTCCTGTTGCTTTTCCAGAACTTTGTATGATACTGGTTCACAAAACAACCATATTGTTCTCATGGTCTCTCTCTGGTCTCTCTCTAGTCTCTCTCTGGTCTCTCTCTCTGGTCTCTCTCTGGTCTGTCTCTGGTCTCTCTCTGGTCTCTCTCTGGTCTCTCTCTGGTCTCTCTCTCTGGTCTGTCTCTGGTCTCTCTCTGGTCTCTCTCTCTGGTCTCTCTCTGGTCTCTCTCTGGTCTCTCTCTGGTCTCTCTCTGGTCTCTCCCCGCTCACCTCCTCCTCACCTCCTCCCCCCTCACCTCCTGCCCCCTCTACCTCCTCCCCGCTCACCTCCTGCCCCCTCACCTCCTCCCCGCTCACCTCCTGCCCCCCTCACCTCCTCCCCCCTCACCTCCTGCCCCCCTCACCTCCTCCCCCCTCACCTCCTCCCCCCTCACCTCCTGCCCCCTCACCTCCTCCCCCCTCACCTCCTGCCCCCCTCACCTCCTCCCCCCTCACCTCCTGCCCCCTCACTTCCCCCCCCCCTCACCTCCTGCCCCCCTCACCTCCTCCCCCCTCACCTCCTGCCCCCTCACCTCCTCCCCGCTCACCTCCTGCCCCCTCACCTCCTGCCCCCTCACCTCCTGCCCCCTCACCTCCTGCCCCCTCACCTCCTCCCCCCTCACCTCCTGCCCCCCTCACCTCCTGCCCCCTCACCTCCTGCCCCCTCACCTCCTCCCCCCTCACCTCCTGCCCCCCTCACCTCCTGCCCCCTCACCTCCTCCCCTCTCACCTCCTGCCCCCTCACCTCCTGCCCCCTCACCTCCTGCCCCCTCACCTCCTCCCCGCTCACCTCCTGCCCCCCTCACCTCCTGCCCCCCTCACCTCCTGCCCCCTCACCTCCTGCCCCCTCACCTCCTGCCCCCTCACCTCCTGCTCCCCTCACCTCCTCCCCCCTCACCTCCTCCCCGCTCACCTCCTGCCTCCTCACCTCCTCACCTCCTCCCCGCTCACCTCCTGCCTCCTCACCTCCTCCCTCCTCACCTCCTCTCCCCTCACCTCCTGCCCCCTCACCTCCTCCCCCCTCACCTCCTGCCCCCTCACCTCCTCCCCCCTCACCTCCTCCCCCCTCACCTCCTGCCCCCTCACCTCCTCCCCCCTCACCTCCTCCCCGCTCACCTCCTGCCTCCTCACCTCCTCCCTCCTCACCTCCTCCCCCCTCACCTCCTGCCCCCTCACCTCCTCCCCCCTCACCTCCTGCCCCCTCACCTCCTCCCCCCTCACCTCCTCCCCGCTCACCTCCTCCCTCCTCACCTCCTCCCCCCTCACCTCCTGCCCCCTCACCTCCTCCCCCCTCACCTCCTGCCCCCTCACCTCCTCCCCCCTCACCTCCTCCCCCCTCACCTCCTGCCCCCTCACCTCCTCCCCCCTCACCTCCTCCCCCCTCACCTCCTCCCCCCTCACCTCCTGCCCCCTCACCTCCTCCCCCCTCACCTCCTGCCCCCCTCACCTCCTGCCCCCTCACCTCCTGCCCCCTCACCTCCTGCCCCCCTCACCTCCTCCCCCCTCACCTCCTGCCCCCTCACCTCCTCCCCCCTCACCTCCTGCCCCCTCACCTCCTCCCCCCTCACCTCCTCCCCCCTCACCTCCTGCCCCCTCACCTCCTCCCCCCTCACCTCCTGCCCCCCTCACCTCCTGCCCTCCTCACCTCCTCCCCGCTCACCTCCTCCCTCCTCACCTCCTGCCCCCTCACCTCCTGCCCCCCTCACCTCCTGCCCCCTCACCTCCTCCCCCCTCACCTCCTGCCCCCCTCACCTCCTGCCCTCCTCACCTCCTCCCCGCTCACCTCCTCCCTCCTCACCTCCTCCCCGCTCACCTCCTCCCTCCTCACCTCCTCCCTCCTCACCTCCTCCCCGCTCACCTCCTGCCCCAGGGACGGCGGTGCTGTCACTGGGTATGTCTTCGTCACAGGCCTTGTTGAGGTAGCTCTCTGAGTCCGCCTCCTCCTCCTCCTCCTCCTCCTGCTCCTCCTGGTCCTCCTCGCTGGCCTGGTGGGAGCCCGCAGGAGCAGTGGAGCGGTGCGAGGGTCTTCGTCCTCGGCTGGAGCGCTGAGACGAGGCCGAGGTCTTCCTCTGCTCCTCTCGAGGGTACGGCGGGGGCTGCAGCTCGTTCAGAGAGGCGTCTTTGTGGATCCTCTGGATGGTGGCTGCAGACATGTACATACTTACATAGAGACCAGAGTGAGACCGAGAGAGACCAGAGGAAGACCAGAGAGAGACCAGAGAGGGACCAGAGAGGGACCAGAGAGAGACCAGAGAGAGACCAGAGAGAGACCAGAGAGAGACCAGAGAGAGACCAGAGAGAGACCAGAGAGACCAGAGAGAGACCAGAGAGAGACCAGAGTGAGACCAGGGAGAGACCAGAGAGAGACTAGAGAGAGACCAGAGAGAGACCAGAGTGAGACCAGAGGGAGAGCAGAGGGAGAGCAGAGGGAGACAAGAGGGAGACCAGAGGGAGACCAGAGGGAGACCAGAGTGAGGCCAGAGAGAGACCAGAGAGAGACTAGAGAGAGACCAGAGAGAGACCAGAGAGAGACCACAGGGAGACCAGAGGGAGACCAGAGAGGGACCAGAGAGAGACCAGAGAGAGAGACCAGAGAGACACCAGAGAGACACCAGAGAGAGACCAGAGTGAGACCAGAGTGAGACCAGAGTGAGCACTGACCTCTCTCGCTGGAGGCCTCACTGCTGGACCCCTCCTTGCTCCCCCAGGTTGAGGCCCTCTGCTGGGCCATGGGCTCAAGACCTCGCTCCTCCTCCTCCCCCTCCTCACTGTCCGACGGCGCCTCCTCTGGACCAGACGCACAAACAATCACACGTTATTCTCCTGAGTTTAACCACACGGAGGAACGCTGAAGGGAAGAAGGATCACAGCGAGAGTCCAAGAAGGTAGAACCAGAAGTTAAAACCAGAAGTTAGTGAAGAGAAACTCAAACAACAACAACATTCCAAGGAGCCAAAAGTTTAGGATCGTGGCAGAGGGCAGCTGAGAAACCCCTGCTGGTAACTACACATGAAACAAGTCAGTAGTGGTCTTCCTGGTCTCTCTCTGGTCTCTTTTCTGGTCTTTCTCTCTGGTCTCTCTCTTCGGCCACTCTCTTTCTCTCTGGTCTCTCTCTGGTCTCTCTCTAGTCTCTCTCTGGTCTCTCTCTGGTCTCTCTCTGGTCTCTCTCTGGTCTCTCCCTGGTCTCTCTCTCTGGTCTCTCTCTGGTCTCTCTCTGGGCTCTCTCTAGTCTCTCTCTGGTCTCTCTCTGGTCTCTCTCTGGTCTTTCTCTGGTCTCTCTCTGGTCTCTCTCTGGTCTCTCTCTGGTCTCTCTCTGGTCTCTCTCTGGGCTCTCTCTGGTCTTTCTCTGGTCTCTCTCTGGTCTCTCTCTGGTCTCTCTCTGGGCTCTCTCTAGTCTCTCTCTGGTCTCTCTCTGGTCTTTCTCTGGTCTCTCTCTGGTCTCTCTCTGGTCTCTCTCTGGGCTCTCTCTAGTCTCTTTCTGGTCTCTCTCTGGTCTTTCTCTGGTCTCTCTCTGGTCTCTCTCTGGTCTCTCTCTAGTCTCTCTCTGGTCTCTCTCTTCGGCCACTCTCTTTCTCTCTGGTCTCTCTCTGGGCTCTCTCTAGTCTCTCTCTGGTCTCTCTCTGGTCTCTCTCTGGTCTCTCTCTGGTCTCTCTCTGGTCTCTCTCTGGGCTCTCTCTGGTCTCTCTCTGGTCTCTCTCTGGTCTCTCTCTGGTCTTTCTCTGGTCTCTCTCTGGTCTCTCTCTGGTCTTTCTCTGGTCTCTCTCTGCTCTCTCTTTCTGGTCCCTCCCTGGTCTCAGATACTCCCTGCACTACACCATGCATTTTGAATGGGACCATGGGTGCTCCACATGTAGCCTGGGACAGAGTCAGAGTGACACTGTGAGACTCCTGATGATAGTCTCGTCCTGTTAAAAACTCAAATGAACTTTAATCATTTCTTGTATATGCTCCATGTAAACATAATGCCACACCAGAGTCCAGTCTGAAGTTATTCTGTTCTCTCTGAAGCCTCGCAAACGCAGGAAGTCCACCAGAAATGCGACAAATGCGTCCCAACTGCATCCTGCCTTTAAAGAACAGTGAAGCACTTTGAACCGAGACCAAATTAAGATTGAGAAATGTCAGAAAAAGCAGAGTCACCACACACACACACACACAAAGTCACTGCTCCACCCCCAATGCAAACAAGCCACGCCCCCTCTACCTTTCCCCTTCTTCTTTTTACTCTTCCTCTTCTTCTTGCTCTTCTCCCGCTCCTCTGTCTTTTCTTTCTTCACGTCCTCTTTCTTCTTTTTGTCCGACTTTTTCTTCTTTCGTTTAGTCTTGGCCACTTCCTCCTCCTGCTCCTCCTCCTCCTCTTCATCTTCTTTCCCCTCCTCTTCCTCTTCTTCCTCTTTGACGCCTTCTTCCACCGGCTCTGCTTCGTTCTCGCTCTCTCTCCTCGATCCTTTCCCCTGCTCCTCTCTCTTCCTCTGCGCCTCCGTCCGCTTAGCTTGCCGCTCTCTCCTCCTCTGCTCCCTCTGCTCCTCCATCTCCTTGCGCTCCTGCTTCTTGCGCTCCTTCTCCGCTAACTCCGCCGCCGTTAGCTTAACGCGCCAGCCCCCGTCCCGCCACTCCCACTCCAGCTGACTCGCCGCGCTCTCCGTGTTGCCGCCGCCGTCGTCGTTCGCCGCCGTCTCCGGTTCGTTGTCGCGGGCGATCTGCCAGATGCTCTTGCTCCTGGGTTTGCTCTCGCTGCTATGGCCGCCGCCGCCGCCATCTTGAGCCGCGGCTACGCTAACGTTGTCACCTTCTTCCGTGTCTTGCACCTTCTTCACGATGGTGGTCACGCCCTCAGTGAACTGGTCGCTAACGGCGTAGGTGGCGTCGCTAACTGAGTGGGCTAGCTCGTCCACGCGGCTGCTGACCGAGTCCAAGATGGAGGAGATGTTGACGGACGGGAGGTTGGTCTGGAAGCTCTTGAAGAAGGCCATGGTTTCCTCGCGGTCGCACGGGAAGGAAGTAGGATTAGGTCATCACTGCTGTGGTCGCTCTGGTCGCTCTGGTCGCTCTGGTCGCTCTGGTCGCTCTGGTCGCTCTGGTCGCTCTGGTCGCGCTGGTCGCTCTGGTCGCTCTGGTGGGTCAAGGACGCGGGTTAGTGTGACGTGGGTCGAGCTACAGAGTTATTCAAGTTATTATTATGTAACTCCTTTAGTGGAAGACTAAGGAGCGCTACCGCAGTCAGACTGTACAACAAGTCACTTTAAGTCACTGATGACCTGCACTAGGACTGAACCTGCTGCTGTTGCCACGGTGTCTTTTATGTTTATTTTATTTACATAATTATATCCTGCACAGATTATCTTTTTTACCTTTAACATGTTTCTGTCTTTTGCACAAAGTGATTCTATCGGTGACAAATGTGACCTTTGTTCAACAGATATCAATAAAGTTTATTTTATCTAAATCAGGACACAGGAAATGCAGTGATAAAAACACACAGAGCCATCGGAGCATTGGGGCAAAGTGTGGAGAGTCCTGGGTCAGCTCTGTCCTCGGACTCTGCTTTGGCAAAGGACAACTGTAAAAATGTAAAACCAGTGCAAGAAACGAGATTGTTTAAAGTTTGGAAAAGCTTCGTTAAGAAACATGTCACAGATTTAACTGTTCACTGTAAGAACTAACACAATAAGAACTAACACAATAAGAACTAACACAATAAGAACTAACACAATAAGAACTAACACAATAAGAACAAATACTGTCATGTATAGAGCTTTATTATATGACTTGGACCGTGCGCGCGCTCTGATTGGCTGATTACCGGTCTGATATTTTCCCATCTCGGACTGTTACCATGACGATCTGTCCACAGCGCGTATCACACAAAACCAAGTCGGACATGAACATACTTCACAAATATCTCAAAAGCGTTGGTAAAGACACAGACGAGAGTCATAATAAAACATTTATTAACCTCGCCACGACTCGGTCTGTACATTAAGGCTCTGTCTGTACATTAAGGCTCGGTCTGTACATTAAGGCTCGGTCTGTGCATTAAGGCTCTGTCTGTACATTAAGGCTCGGTCTGTGCATTAAGGCTCGGTCTGTACATTAAGGCTCGGTCTGTGCATTAAGGCTCTGTCTGTACATTAAGGCTCTGTCTGTACATTAAGGCTCGGTCTGTGCATTAAGGCTCGGTCTGTGCATTAAGGCTCGGTCTGTGCATTAAGGCTCGGTCTGTGCATTAAGGCTCGGTCTGTACATTAAGGCTCGGTCTGTGCATTAAGGCTCGGTCTGTGCATTAAGGCTCGGTCTGTACATTAAGGCTCGGTCTGTACATTAAGGCTCGGTCTGTACATTAAGGCTCGGTCTGTGCATTAAGGCTCGGTCTGTGCATTAAGGCTCGGTCTGTGCATTAAGGCTCTGTCTGTACATTAAGGCTCGGTCTGTACATTAAGGCTCTGTCTGTACATTAAGGCTCGGTCTGTACATTAAGGCTCGGTCTGTGCATTAAGGCTCGGTCTGTGCATTAAGGCTCTGTCTGTACATTAAGGCTCGGTCTGTACATTAAGACTCGGTCTGTACATTAAGGCTCAGTCTGTACATTAAGGCTCGGTCTGTACATTAAGGCTCGGTCTGTGCATTAAGGCTCGGTCTGTGCATTAAGGCTCGGTCTGTACATTAAGGCTCGGTCTGTACATTAAGGCTCGGTCTGTGCATTAAGGCTCGGTCTGATATTTCTCTGCACAGACCTCGCGCTCGGTTAATAAGCCGTTAATATATTTATGATTATGATTGCTATTGAAGCCAACCATGGACAGCACGACAACGAAAACCGTGACGTTGCCCGGCATGGCGCAGCCGGGGCCCCACCCTGGAGCCAGGCCTGGGGTCGGGGCTCGCAAGCGAGCGCCTGGTGGCCGGGCCTTAGCCCACGGAGCCCGGTCGGGCTCAGCCCGAAGGGATGACGTGGGCAGTCCCTCCTGTGGGCCCACCACCTGCAGAGGGGTCCGTGGTGGCGAGGTGCAGCGAGGACTGGGCAGCGGTCGAAGGCAGAGACCTCGACGACCCAGTCCGCACACACAACATCTGGCTCTTGGGACGTGGAACGTCACCTCACTGGGGGGGAAGGAGCCCGAGCTTGTGGGGGAGGTTGAGCGATACCGACTAGAGATAGTCGGCCTCACCTCCACACACAGCTTGGGCTCTGGAACCCAACTCCTTGAGAGGGGTTGGACGCTCCACTTTTCTGATGTTTCCCGCGGGGAGAGGCGGCGAGCTGGGGTGGCCATTCTCATTGCCCCCCATCTCAGCCGCCACGTGTTGGAGTTCTCCCCGGTGAATGAGAGGGTCGCGTCCCTCCGCCTCCGGGTGGGGGACAAGTCTCTCACTGTTGTGACGGCCTACGGGCCTAACAGCAGTGCAGAGTACCCGGCCTTCTTGGAGTCCTTGGGAGGGGTACTGGACAGTGCACCGCCCGGGGACTCCGTCATTCTCCTGGGGGACTTCAACGCCCATGTGGGAAACGCCAGTGACACTTGGAGAGGGGTGATCGGGAAGAACGGCCCCCCTGATCTGAACCCGAGCGGTGTTCAGTTGTTGGACTTCTGTGCCAGTCACGGTTTGTCCATCACGAACACCATGTTCGAGCACAAGGGTGTCCACCAGTGCACGTGGCACCAGGACACCCTAGGCCGGAGGTCGATGATCGACTTTGTTGTCGTATCATCTGACCTTCGACCGCGTGTGTCGGACACTCGGGTAAAGAGAGGGGCGGAGCTGTCAACCGATCATCACCTGGTGGTGAGTTGGATCCGCTGGCAGGGGAAGAAGCCGGTCAGACCTGGCAGGCCCAAGCGTGTAGTGAGGGTCTGCTGGGAACGTCTCGCTGAGCCCCCTGTCAGACGGACTTTCAACTCACACCTCCGGGAGAGCTTCTCCCAGGTCCCGGCAGAGGAGGGGGACATGGAGTCCGAGTGGACCATGTTCTCTTCCTCTATCGCCAATGCGGCGGCTCGTAGCTGTGGTCGCAAGGTGTCTGGTGCTGGTCCCGGCGGCAATCCCCGGACCCAGTGGTGGACACCGGCAGTAAGGGATGCCGTCAGGCTGAAGAAGGAGTCCTATCGAGCAATGATGGTTCGTGGGACTCCTGAGGCAGCTGTCCAGTATCGGCAGGCCAAACGTGCCGCGGCCCGGGCTGTTGCAGAGGCAAAAACCCGAGACTGGGAGGAGTTCGGAGAGTCCATGGAGCATGACTATCGGTCGGCCTCGAAGAGGTTCTGGCAAACCGTCCGGCGCCTCAGGAGGGGGAAGCAGTGCTTTGCCAACACCGTGTACGGTGCGGGTGGAGAGCTGCTGACCTCGACTGGGGATATTGTCGGGTGGTGGAAGGAATACTTCTAGGTTCTCCTCAATCCCCCCGTCACGTCCTCTGTTTCAGAGGCAGAGGCTGAGGATGTTGGGGCGGATACTTCCATCTCCCTGGCCGAGGTCACCAAGGTGGTTGGTAGCCTCCATGGTGGCAAGGCGCCGGGAGTGGATGAGATCCGTCCTGATTATCTAAAATCTCTGGATGTTGTAGGACTGTCTTGGCTGACACGTCTCTGCAGCATCGCGTGGCGATTGGGGGCGGTGCCAATGGAGTGGCAGACCGGGGTGGTGGTCCCTCTCTACAAGAAGGGGGACCGGAGGGTGTGTTCCAATTATCGTGGGATCACACTCCTCAGCCTCCCTTTTAAGGTTTACTCCAAGGTACTGGAGAGGAGGCTACGTCCGATGGTCGAATCTCGGATTCAGGAGGAGCAGTGTGGTTTTGGTCCCGGTCGCGGAACACTGGACCAGCTCTACACTCTCCATCGGATACTCGAGGGTTCATGGGAGTTCGCCCAACCTGTCCACATGTGCTTTGTGGATTTGGAGAAGGCGTTCGACCGTGTTCCCCGGGGTGTCCTTTGGGGGATCCTCCGGGAGTACGGGGTCCGGGGTCCTCTGCTGAGGGCCGTCCGGTCCCTGTATGACCGGAGTCAGAGCTGTGTTCGCATTGCCGGCAGTAAGTCAGACCTGTTCCCGGTGAATGTTGGCCTCCGACAGGGCTGCCCTTTGTCATCGGTTCTGTTCACTGTATTTATGGACAGAATTTCTAGGCGCAGCCAGGGGCCGGAGGCAGGGCTGGACTGGGACAAAAAAACGGCCCGGGCATTTTTTCCTTTTTAGCGGCCCAGGCAACTCAAAAGGTTCAAGGAGCCCTATTTGACAAAAAAAAAAAAAAAAAAAAGCGTTGTATAAGGCTTATATGAAGGTAACAGGGGCTGAAGCTGTATTAGCTACATTAGCTATATTGGACTAATATCTAAATGACAAAGTAAAGGCTAATCACATAAAAACCATTCATGATTATCAAATGTGTATTTTCATTGCAGCGTGTCCTGAGAGAATGACGCACCACGTGACGACTCTGCTTTAAGTTTAACCTTCATGCAATTGTACAAATAGAGTAAATAAATCTGTTTTTTGTCTCCGAGTTCACCTGCATCACTGTCTGTTCATATCCATCACAGGCTGAAGTTTGCTGGAGCTGAATGTCCTTAATGGCCTTTTCTTTCACTGTCTTTGCGAAGGTTTTTGAAGTCTGAAAATACGGGCTCTGACTTTATGATGAATGAATGTTTCAGTGAACAGTGTTTAAAGCTTCATTGTTCCTCCTGTTGCAACAAAACTTTTCATTACATCGCAAACATGAAGCAGTCCTTCCTCAGTGACTGAAAGCAAATGTTCATTCTCATTCTTAGTCCAGTCTTATCGACTCTCTTTATTCTCTTTTTCTTTGGGATCCACGCGCACACACAGTTAAAATTGAAGATTACCCATACAAGTTTTTGCAGCATTGAAAAAGCATTTTCCTCGTACAGAAACCACATTGAAACTAGAAATAAAATATAGCCCTCACACTCCATTTTCAGACATTTTTGAAAAGGCTCCAGGAGCCACTTTA